ATCCACAGCTGATCATAAACCCTCTTCTGATGTTTATGATGGGCATGAGTCAGAGTGCTGATGGCTCAGCCAACGCCATTCCTCCAGTGACGCCTAAAGAATGTTTTCACGAGTGTGGCCTGCCACAGCTGGCTCACGTCAGTCCCAGTTCAGCTGTGGTGCCAGTGTAATTATTATTATTATTATTATTATTATTTAAAGATTTTATTGGGGAATTGGGGGAAGGGAAACAGACAAGTTGCTGTTGTTTTGTTCTTCAGTCTAGTTGCAGAGGACGTTGTTTTACTGGCCCAAGTTGGCACCATCATTGCGCTCTTCCTGGGTGAGGCAGATCGGTCACTGACCTCTGGACGGCCGCTCACGGTGGCTGCTGGCCGCTCACGCTGGCTGCCAGCCACACACGGTAGCTTATGGCAGCCCACTGCAGCAGGGGCTGCAGCCTACGCCGTCACTGATGACCCACAGCAGCCCAGCTCCAGGTCGAGCTGCCGTTCACCATCTTAGCTGCAGAGGGCACTGACACTGGCCCTCATATGTGGGATCCAAACCGGGGCCCTCTGGCGTCCCAAGCCAGCTCTTAACCATCGCGCCACTCAGCCGGCCCGCCAGTGTAATTATTAATCACATCCAATTTGCTCTCCAAAGCATCCTGGTGTGAACAAGGACTGGGAGTCTCACTGAAAACATAGATTTCTGGGCTCCATCTCAGACTTTGTCATCAGACCCTCTGGGTGTAGGGTCTAGAATGTTGCATTTCAAACAAACAGGCACGAACGTTTGAGAACCAATGTGCCACGGCCACGTCTGTGGTACGCAGACATGACTGCAGATCGTACATGTATTTTAGAATGAGAAGAAGTGAGGTCTAGTGCTAAGCGCCACCACCCATGTCCCCTGCTATTCTATTCTAGAGTTTTCTCCTTGCAGCTACATTGCTGGAAAGCTTTAGATGTGAGCCCAGTTGCATTGTGCTCAGTGCCCTCAAGTGGAGCTAAGGTGCCCCCTGCATGGCGACCTCGTGAGGTCATTGCAAAATCAGGTGAGGTATCACCTGCAGAAGTCTTTTGCCAAGTCATGGGCTGTCGGGGGAGGGCTCCTGTGCGATGTTGACCCCGTCAGCGTATTTGAGGGCTGCTGTGTTTTTGCATATCTAACTTTGCTTTCACGCTCTAATTTAGACAAGGACATAACTCAGGCATGCTGGTGGGTGTGCGGGGGAGCCCATATTGGTTTCATACGCGTTTCTCTGATGACTAAGAGGCTGAGAACCTGGTGCAGGCCGAGGCCCAGGACTCCAGGCTAAATGATGGGCCAGGAGGTCACCGAGGCTGAGAAACCAGTCTGCCCAACACCTGCCTCTCCTGGCCTCCTTCCTGGCTTGGACGTGCCCTCTAATTATCCACGATCTAACCCCACCCAGGTCTATCCAGGGGCCTGCGCTGACCCACAATCCTGCCGTGCAGGGGCCCTGCCCGGGCTCTGACTTTGTATACTTATTTTGCCTGCCAAGCGGACTCCTTGCTAACATCTGGTATTTTCTTGGTCATGAGAAGAGCATAAATATTACTGAGGAATTCAAGTCACTGACTGTACCTAGCAGTGACATTCCTGACACGGTTTCCACTGTGGAAGCCAGCAGACTTGGATCTGTCTAGGGCAAAGTAAAAAGCTGCTCGGAGGAAGCTGTCTTTTTTCCATTTGGTGAAATGTCAGGGAAGTGTTTCGGTGACACGCTAAAAAATTGAGCTGGAAATCCCTTTTGCTAGATAGCAGCTTAGTTCTTCTTCCCGGGACGCCCTGGACGCGTGTCTAGGTTACACACCAGGAACTCCTTTTATTAGGCCAGTCTTTTTGCACTGGACCAACCCCAGAATTTGTTATAATTCAGACACCAATGGGTCTGAAGTGGACGTGATCTCTTTGGTGACATAAGAATTGCCAGGCGAATATCTAAATTATCCATCAGACAATGGGTATTCCAGCCCTTTAAGAGCAATTTTTCAATGTCCCCACTGGAATGCTACTTGATTAGAGGCTCCTCAGTCACTTGACCCCTCAGAGCTGTTTACTCACCTGTCAGCTGGGAGGGCGGTCACTTCAAGGGCGCGGTCACAACTGAACTGCACGAAGGAGCCGTAATAAGTGTTCACAGATATGGCCTCTGCTCAGTGCCACCACCCGGGATTCAGCTTGCCTGCTCTGGGGATGCAGGGAAGGGTATCACTCATCTGCCACCAGTAATAGTAATGGTGTTATTGTGCAGAGTTGACAGAAAACTGGCAAGACACGAATGGACTGCCCAGGATGGGAGTGAACACGAAACCACGAATGATCGGCACCGGGGCCGAGCAGACCTGTCGAGCACGGCCCCCTGTCCTCACCGACAGTCCCTCTGCCTCAGGGATGGGCCTCGAAGAGAGCCAGGGGCTGTGTGGGTTCCCTTCTGCGGCCTTCACGATGACCACACTGAGTTATCTTGCAGCTCTGTAGTTCAGAAGGCCAACGCAAGCCCCCTTGGGCTAAAATCAACGTGGCGGCAGTGCTGGCTACTTCTGGGGACTCCAGTGCGTCATCGTGTTCTGGCCTTTTGCAGCTCAGATGCGCCCACATTCCTGGGCTCGTGGACCCTCCATCTTTAAAGCCAGCGACAGCGTCTCCTAGCCCTGCTCCCATTATCATGTGCCCCTCTGCCTCCTCCTTCTACTTTTAAGGCCCCTTCTGACTCTCCCCACTTAGGGCCACCTGACCGGCCCCGGAATTCCATCTGCATCGTTAGTGCCCCTTTCCCAAGGTGTTCAGGTCCCGGCAGCTGGGATGTGGCGGGAGGCCAGGGTTCCGCTGACCCCAGGGAGCAAGCTTCAGTGAGGCCGGTGGGGGTTCTGCTGGTCAGGACGGAGAGCAGCCCCTGGCCAGCCAGGGGTGGTGGAGTGCATCCTTCACCTTGAGGTGCTGGTCAAGCATTTCACTCCCTGCTCTTGTCAATGTAAGAAATGCCCTAACCTGTGGAAAATTTTTATGAGTTTATTTGAGCCAAACTGGTGACAATTGCTGGGAAGCAAAATCTCAATGGATTGAGGAAATGCTCCAGAGAATGGCAATTTTGCAGCTTATTTTATGCATTACAATCAAAGGAAACTTAAGGAGTGTTGCATGAAACCCATTGGTGGTAGATTAAGGGGCAGGAGAAAGCAGAGTGGAGAAACCTCTGAAATTGGATAACAGTAAAAGGCAGAGATGTACTTCTTTTACATTGGTGGGTACAGGGCAATTAATAATTAACATTTACAGCACGTAGAGATGGTTTTGGGGAACGAGATAACAATGAGGGGTTCCGTGGTCTCTTGCTCGGTGCCACGGGTTGTGCCCTGAGGGATCCGGAAAAAGGGATGACTGACATTCCTGGGTATGTTATCTTAGATGCGGAAAGACAACAGACAGGCTCCCTTCAGGTAAAGGCTGATCTTTTACAGGCCGAGGTCGTGACGACCCGCCATGACCCACTTTCAGTTAGGGATTTGTACGTTCAGGCCATCCTGTGTGGTTAGTTTCCATCTCTGAGTTTGTAGGGCCCGCCATGCTGGCCTCCCCTGAGCTTGTCAGGCCCACTTTTTTTGTCCAGAGATGTCCCCCGTGACTGGCCTAGTGTTCAGTCTCAGGGAATTCCATGCTTTGGAGCAGACGAGGCCAGTGTAACTCTGTGTAGGCCCTTGTCTGAGCCTACGACCCTAGTCTCAGGCATGGATGTCCCAGGCCACGCTGCTGATCCCTTAGAAGATGGACCCCGAGGGCCGAAGCACCAGCCAGACCGCAGTCTGGGGCACCGGGGACGTGTTCCAGCAGCGTCGCATGGTGAGTGTGCTGGAACGCTAGCGTCTGAATGTCTGGGTGCCTCCCTGCCCCAGCCCTGCAGATTCACAGTCTCCGGCTGGTGGAAGCTGCCGTGTTCACCATCTTCCCATGTGAGTCTCATGAACAAGATGTGTGGGCATGTCCCATGTCAATAAAAACCTGTGCTCAGCATAATTCCTAACAGCATAAGCAGACCATCACAGGGGTGTGCCGTAACTGACCTTACCACCCCCTGTGTGTTGGGTCTTTAGGTAATTGACCAAGGCTTTGTGGTAGATACATGTCCAGCTTCAGCCCTCACCTTAACCCTGACCCTGAACCAACCCTGATGGGAATGACACCGAGTTATCTAACAGGCACCGTATTCCATTTTGTCTATGAGGAAATGTTCTAGGCGGACACTGTTCAGGGTGCGTGTCAGGGTAGCCAGGACTTCACAGTTTTTATGGGATCCGTGGTGTTGACCCCCACAAAGGATTCCTCTGTGAGTAAATGACGGACAGACCGCGTGTGGGTGGCTGGCGTTACTCAGCTTGTTGGTTGGACAACACGCCCACACATCCAAATCCAACTCGATGTACTCGGGAGGGGGTGAACTGAGCCTCGCTCCTGGGCAGACGGCCTCGGGGGACCTGAGAGCCCCATGGCAGATGGTTTGGGGCAGGCATGGGCAAACTCCTGTAAAGGGCAAGGCAGTCAATATTTTAGGCTTTTCTTTGCTGTTTGGTCAGTACAGGATCAGAGCAACAAGTCTGGGTGGTGCAGCCCAGTGTCTCTCCTGATTCATAGAGTGAGCAGGCCAGCCGGGCTGGGACTCAGCCCTTCTCCCCGCCTCGGAGTGTCCCTGCTAGGGAGGCACTCCTCACTCGGAAACCCTGTTCCCCCACCCCCACCTAGTGGAGGTTCAGTAGGAAAATTCAATTAGTCTGGTTTGTTTTGTGGCCTATAAGTATTGACTGGTCTTTCTGTGTCAGAAACTCTTAAAAAAAAAAGGAGATGTATAACGCTTTTTTATTAAAAGAAAAAGCCACAGCAGAATACAGGGTGCCCTCAGTTTACTGCTGCAGAAAAGAAGAATGTTGGCATCTCTCACTGGGTTAAAACAGAAGACGAGTGTCTCACTGAACATTAAAGGATTTATTTCTCCGTAGGTTGTAGGTGCATGTGGACAGCTTAGGAAAGGCACCCAGAGAATACAGCGACAGGAACTCAGCCGCGCCATCCCCAGAGGCACTCTGCTCCGGCTTCCGGAACCTTCTTCCAGAGGTGGAATGAGGCCGTCCCAACATTTGTCAGGTGATGTTTATTCATGGCCACGCTGGATGCTGGTTAGGCTTATTTCTGCCGGCCCTTCTAGGGTTGTTCCGGAACCATCTAGGAATCAGTTGTCCCTGAGCTCCGACCTGACTACTTAATTGCCTTTACTAATCTGCAGAGACCAAGCAGGTAAAAATAGCCTCCAGGGTCGAAGGGTGAGTGAGGTCCCTGATGCGATGGTTGGATGTCAGCCACGTGGAGGTCTCCCGGACTCCTAGTGACGGCCTGAAATCATTGTGCTAATTAAATAAACCAACCTTAACTGCTGGAGCTGGGCAAACATCTCGACAGCCAGGCTTTAGATGATCGACTTAGAGGGGAGCAGGAAGAAAATGGGAAGGCACTTCCTAGGAAAGGCTTCAAGTTGCTTTCCCAAGTGCTCTGTGCCCCAGCAGTGTGAAAACGTTCCCTTCCTCCTCACCTCCCCTCTCCCTCTCCCTGTGTTCCCTTCCGTCCTCCCCCCTGTTCCCTCCCCCTCCGCTCTTTCTCAGTGTCTTCTCTTAAAACAAAACTTCTGAATGAATGAGCTCTGTTGTTGGGTATTGGTAGTGCCTTCTCCTCCTTTTGGGATATTCTCCTGGTCACCAACCCATGTCCTGTAAAGCCTGGCTTAGCGCGCACCCTCCTGCAGGAAGGCTTCCAGGAGTGTTTGCACAACTTTCAGATGAAGGTGTCACCTTTCCCCCAGCCCCTATGCAGTCCGTCTGGAACATGTTAAATTGCACAGACAGACAAATCTCTTCCTAATACATTTAGGTGCTTCGTATGTGTGTATTTCAGCTCTCCCAATAGACTGTGTGTTATATCAGGCCAGAAACGTCGTCTTCAGTTTCTTTCCGATTTCCCCAAACTGAGCACATGACACCGGTCAGCCACCCTGATATCCAGGTTAAATGATGCCGTCAACTGCCAGTCTCCTAGGCAGGCTTGAAACCTGCCGGCTAGGAACCCCTAGTCACCTCTCGCTAGGATGACGCGTCCTTTCTGTCCCTAACATAAAGTCACCAAATACTGGAGGTCGAGAATACTTCTCCAGGCCAGCTGTTTCTGCTCCCACCACTCTGACCTTGGTCTGACAGCCTCTGTCCCAGGCATTGGGCTGGTCCCTGGCTGACACTGAGAAACACTGCTGGGATGGCGCTGTCTTCTGACATCCAGTGTGGGATCCTGCCTCTTGAGGACCTCTGTCAGAGCTCGCTGACAGCTCTGAGAACCCATGTCATCTTCTGAGCGTTTACCCTGTGCCGAGGTGCTCTGGGGTCTGCAAATCTTTTGGCGGCTCCATGAAAATTTGCCCATGCCATTCATGGAGCCATTCCAGCACCTAGCCCCCCTTTCTGTAAGTTTTGCAGGTTCCCCACTCTCTGAGATCCTAGTAGGGCCTCCCTGTAAACAGCTGAATGTGCTAACGAGGCTGAGAGAGTCGGAGGTCTAGGGGAAGGGGCAGAAACCCTTGCCCAGGGCCTTGAGGCCCTCCTCCCCATGGAAGAGGAAGAAATGCTTCAAGTTGTCTGCGTTCAGTAGGGGAGCATGAAGACAGACTTTTTACCAATATCTAGCAAAGCTCATTGGAAATAGGAACTAACCGTAGACCAAAGGGACAAACCCAAGTAACGGGACACACGCCTCGATCACACACACTTTACCTACAGACGGAAAACTGCACACAGGCCTTGAACTCGACTCGTCGGTGTGTTTGCACCGTGGCCGCTGGGCAGCAGTCTGAGTGTCCTGGGTGCTGCAGGGTGGAGCACGCCGACGTGTGTGTCGTGGCCGCTGGAAGCCAGGGCTCGCACACTCGGGGAAAGGAGCGCCGTGCTCTATTTTTTTATGGTTCCATGACACTTACCGGCTCCTCACCTGCTGTGTAACTTTCTCATGTATCACGTTCATCCGTCTGTGTCCGTGTCCTGGGGCAGGGAGCCCTGCCACCTTGGCTCACGAGGACGCCACGATGACCTGGACAACGGAGGTGGTAGGTGTGTTTTTGTGCCCGTGGTGGAGAGTGAGGTATGGCGGAGTGTGGGGTGGGACCCGACCCTGGAGAGCACCGACAGCAAGATTGAAAACACGTGGATCTCAGCCTGTGGGCAGCGAGACACCACTGGGAGTTTTGAATGGGCAGCGTCAGAGGGTGGATTTGGGGTCTGTCTGTGAGGGGCCTGAGGCAGAGGGTCAGGTTAGGAGGCTCGGTAATTGGGCACTTGTTACAAGTGACAGGAACCCAGGTCAAGCTCGTCTAAGCAATAAAGGCAGTGAGATGCCCGGGGCATCTTTGGCGTTGGGCACAGCTGTGCCCCAGGGCCCGCTTGCCTGGCAGCAGGATGGATGGGGGCCCACGGGAGCCAGTGGGCCCATGGAAGCAAGGCCTGGTGAAGCCCACGGTTGGGCGGTACTAGATCACGGTCACTCCACCACGTTCTATTGGCCACGGCAAACCCCAAGATCAGCCAGGGTCCAGGTGGGGAAGCAGTGACGTGCATCACACAGGTGAGTGCAGAGGGCAGGAAGGTGGGTAATCATTGTGGCAAGTTCCCTGGCGTGGGGCCTTCTGGGGTCTGGGGTCTGGGCTCTGGGTCTCAGAGGGACGTGCTGCTCCTCTCACTCCTGCGGTGTCTTTCTCCATCCTCGCTCAGGGAGGAAAGCAGCTTTCTGAGCTGCGACGGCGGCTGTCTCCGTCATTAAGCCTGGCTGCACACGTCGGCATGACGTAGATGTGGTCTGCTTTCTTCTGAGGCCCACTGCAAAGCCCTGCCCACCTCCTTACCAGGGGGGTCACTGACACCCCGAATTCCACCATCACAAAGCAGGGGGAGCGTCCTCCTTCACAGGGACCTGTCCCATTAGCCAGCTAATCCATAAAGTAAGCTTGGTCATTGCACAAAGGACATGCGAGAGGGACAAGATGCTGGAGAAAGACATGGAGTCATCTGCTATTTTGACTATTTTCCCAAGAAGGTGAGGACGAGCTTGCTTAGCCCACAAGAAAAGTCATCTGACTAGGCCGAGGTTTTAAAGAAAGTGAGACTTTCACAGTACTTCTCATATTAAGTGCCTCAGAATGTGACTGTGTTCGGAGATGTGACTAAGCTAACATGAGGTCATTAGGGTGGGGCCTGATCCAATAGGACTGGTGTCCTTATGAGGACACAGACTCACAGAGGGATGACCCCGTGAGGACACAGGGAGGGGACGTCCATCTACATGTGAAGGAGAGGCCTCAGGAGAGCCAGCCCTGCTGACACCTGCATCTGGGACTCCAGCCTCCAGGACTGGGAGGAAGTATATGCTCTCTCTCTCTCTCTCTCTCTCTCTCTCCCTCTCCCCACTCCCCCTCCGCCCCCCACACACATTTGGAGGTAGTACCATCTGTGACTGTAAACCACTGGGCGGGACATCAAAGACTGCTATTAAAATGCAAATGTAGTTAGAGAGGACAGGGGTTAGTGAACATCAGTAACTAATAATTTGGCATCTGAAACAGCACAGTCGGGAGGGCAGGAGCCTGGACTCTGGAGCCAGACTGCCTGGACTGGATTGGGTCCCAACTCTGCCCCTTCCCAGCTGTGTGACCATGTCTTACCCTCTCTGTGCTCCCTCTGTAAACAAGGAATGGTCACAGTGCTTACTTCAGGTGAGGTAATATTTGCAAAGGGCTTCGCACAGCATCTGGACAATGGGAACCACAGTGTTTGCTGTTCTCTTGCTCACCTGAGCACCTCAGGTGACCGGTGCTCAGAACATAGGATGTTGGTTTATTGGCAAGGAGGCAGAGCAAGAATCCTGACTCAAACCTTCAGCCTCAGGACCTGTCCGCACTCTTAGAAGTCATCGAGGACCCACAGAGCGTTTGTGTGGGTTGTGCCTATTGTACCATAGTTACTGTATGAGAAATTACCAACTAGAACTCTACCGTATTTGAAAGTGAAACCCAGAACATTTAAAGATATTTACTACTTCATTTAACAATAACAATAATCAACCCTTTATATTTTAATGTAAGTATTTTATGACAAACAGCTGTGTTGATGTGTTTGCAAAGATCTTTTCTGAATATAAGGTGCTGGGTCTTCCTACCTGCCGATGGGTCTCCGCCCTCCAGGAGCGACCTGGCCCCCAGCCTGGGCCCCCGGCTCCCCGAGCCGCACCCCTAACCACGTCCTTGGAGTGCCCGACGGCAGCGGTGTGTGCGGGGCCTGCGCTGCGCTGGGCTTTTCCGCAGCCTTGAGTCCTGGGTGGGACGCAGTTTGCTCAGGGCTGCAGAACAGATGCTGTGAGAGCTGGCTGCTGACGTCAGTCCAGCCCTCTCCGAGAACCCGAGGCTCAGGCCGACCAGTCCTTCGGTGGCCAGGAGATGTCACTGTCGCATCTTCTGCAGTGCCAGGGACAGGCAGGCTGTGGGGGCTGAGAGCTCCGACTGGGGAGCTCAGACCCGGGGCCTGGTGCACTCGTTGCCTGTGCATCAGCCAGGGCTCTGCAGACTTACAGAACATAGGGGAGATGTAAACATATTTATGTGCATTGCAAGGAACTGGCTCACGTGAGTATAGAGGCTGGAAGTCCCACTATCTATCTGCCTGCCGTCTGCGAGGTGGAGGCCCAGGAGAGCCGCTGGTAAGATCCAGTCTAGCGCAGGAGGAGAAGGAAGCCCCAGCTCCCAAACAGGCCCCAGCAAGTCCCCCACCTGCTTTTGTTCTACTGGACTTCCAAGGGAGCAGAGGAGACCCGCCCACCTGGGGAAGGCCTCTGCTTGGCTCAGTCTACTGATTCAAACGCTAATCTCATCCGGAAACACCCTCCCAGACTTGCCTGGAGTCCAGGCCCAGCCAGGTTGACATCACACGGGGTGAAGGCTGCCCAGGTGGACCCCTCACCTGGGCTCAGGGCAGTGTGCCCAGCACAGCGCTAAAGAGACACTGCCTTCCAGGTGGGAGGAGACGGGGCCCTGTGCCCACCTCTGTCCTCAGTGTCAGCGAACTGAGGCCTTTGGACTGGCTGACCGTCTGCCTCTCCGGTCCCCCGTGCTTACCCTCAGCATCCCCCAGGTTGCAGTGCAGCAGGAATGCTGCTGGCCTGGTGTTGGTGTGAAACGCGTGTGTGTGCACACGGCGGGGGGGGCGGGGGGCACCGTTGCAGAGACCTGCCTCTCCCCCCAGCAGGGTCCCACCCAGGGGACAGCACCTGCCTCTCCTTAATCCCTGTTTGAAGGCCACTTGATTGTTTTCATAACTTCTTCAAGAAATTTCCTTCCAAGCAGTGCTGCTGAAGTAAGGACAAACGTTTTTATTTTGGTCTGTCCAGGGGAAAAAACTGTGTTTCCTTTCCAGGTGTTGGCGCTCACGGACCTGAGGCAGCCGGCCACACTGTCCTGCTACCTGTGCAAGGAGGGAAGCGTCACAGCCAGGAAGAAAGGGACCTGGGCACCACAGGACACTGGGCCCAAGGTGGGCGGGCGGAACCGTGAGGACTCACTCGCCTACGCCTGCAGCTGTGAGTCGCCCCCGAGCCAGACCCACTGTCTCCCCAGCTGCTTGACTAAGCAGGTAGCCATGTCCGTGCACTTGAGCACCAAATTTCTTCACCTAAGGGGTAAATATCGATGGAACTCAGGAACCAAGTCAATGTTTACCTCAAGGGATGGTATGGCCGGAATGTGAAGTTGGGATCATGTGTGTTTAAACACGTATACAAAGCCCAACGTCTGCCTCAGGCAGCCCAGCTGTTTCTGTGACGCCTGACTGGAAGCTGTGGTCACTTAGGCTTCTAGATGCACCCAAATGGAGTGCTGGCCAGAAGATGTAAGTCACCCAGGGAGAGCATTAGCATAAACCATGGGGTCCACCTCCGAACACTGCATAACCGGCCCAGAACAACCCAGGGAACCAGAGCTCACCTGGGAGAAAATGAGCTTCCGGCCGGAAATGCACGTTCACGCCGGCTTGGTCTTGTCGGGACAGCTGCTTGTGTGTGTTCAGCTCCTTTCGGTGTGCAGAGCCTGGTCCCTACCTTTGCTGCTGCTGTCACAGCACCCTCAGGCTTGGGGGGCACCGCTTGGCCCTGTGTCACCCGCCCTCCAGGACAATCTTCCCCACTGGCAGGTGTCCTCAGGCTTAAGAAAAGATTATCAGGGAAAAGAAGCCAAAAGCTACAGTTGGGCAACTCTATCCATGAACTTTACCCCCTGTGATTTGGGAAAAGTTTGACATTACTCAGCTCTGAAGGGACAGGCCCCTCGCTGTCCTACCCCCCCCCCCACACCTCTGGGAATGTATCTGCCAAACCGCCTCCGTCCGTCCCCCACCCCTGGTCATGGGCAGATAGGTCCTGATCTCAAGGTCACAGACAGTGAGTAGCCTGCCCTGAGCCGAGCACAGTAGCCGTGACTGCCCACCTGGCTGCAGACCATCACACGTGCTGCTGCCGCCGCCACTCACCCCAGGGCCTCACATATGTCATCTCGTTTTCTCTTAACCTCTGAAGGCAAAATATACTTCAGAGCTGCTCCCAGACCAGAGAGCTGGGGCTCAGACAGCTGTGGGGAGAAGAGGGAAGGGTCACCCCCCCCGGACCCCTCGTTCAGGGGTCAGCCCTATTTTCAGGCGTGTAGAGCAGCCTTCCAGACGTTCTTCTGTGAACACACATGTGCGTGGGGCCTGACCCACGGCCAGAAATGACGCCTAACTGCTGTAATCGCAGTGTCCCCACGGCAACCTCATCGCCGTGGTAACTCACTGGTGATGGGTCGTTGTTGGTTATGGCACCGTGGACCTTAGAGGTCACCCCAACGTTTCAGAGGGGAGCGGAGGCCAACAGAAGTTGTCACCTCACTGATCACGTAAGCAGTAACCATGGATGCTGGTGACAACATGCAGCTGGTGCTGAGTCCTCAGGGCAGCAAAGGGGCACCCCCTCGCCCTACTCCTGCTATGTGGGTGAAAGTGACCCATAGCAGAAGCCCACGGAGGGGCTGGGGCTAGGGGACGAAGCAACGTGATTTATATTTAAAAAAAGAAACCATTCTGGGGGCGAAAAAAGAAACCAAGGGAAGCAGAAAAAGCCGTTAGGAAGCCCCGTGAGGGACCAGGCCAGAGGTGTTGGCTCTCGGACGAGGGGACTGGCAGTGGAGGTGGGGAAATGGGTCGGTTTTGAAATGAGCACCGCAGGACTGACTATGCCTTAGATACGGGGCATGAAGGAAAGAGGACCAGACAAAATAATGCGAGGGTTTGCTCTGAGCCATCAGTTCAATGGTGGTGCTTTTATAAACAGGGCTTTGCAAAGTGCCCAGCTGAGCTCTCCACGAGGACAGGGCCAGCCCAGGTCAGAACGGTCTGCACCTCCTCCGACGCCCAGGTCATCACCGCCATCAGGAGAGAGACTAGCCTGGTGGCGTCAGCCCGGTGGCGTCAGCCCGGTGGTGAGGGCTTGTATCCCAGTCCCACCCATCACTGCAGCTGGGAGACCTAGGTGAGTCATAGGCCTCTCTGTGCCTCACCGCCTCACTTAGAAAAGTGGAGATAAATATAATAATAGTACCAACAGCGACTATTATGGGATTGTAGGAGTCAGCGAGACGATAGTGTGTGGGAAGCACGTCACACACAGCCCGGGGGTTGTATCGCCCTTGTCCTTTCTTGTTTTTAAGTTTTCTCGCTTTTTCTTTGATGAGGAATTAACCAGCTTTTTGAGGTATTCATAAGTTCAGCCGTTATTCTATTTTACAACATTTTTCTATTATCTTTATTGCTTTTTTTCTGCTTTACTTCAGTTTGGCATGTTGTTCCAACTTTCTGAGTGAGACGGTGAGCTAATTTAATTTCTATTTTAGGAATGAAAATATTTACGTCTGTGAGTGTGCTTTCTTTGTAGTCCATAAATTCTATCTAGCATTTTCATTATTATTGTTTCCTAGAACTTCTGTGATTTCGCTTGCATTTCCCTCTGACTCAGAAGTGGATTAACAGGGAATTGTAAAGTTTTCAGGTGAAAGCCTTTTTTATGGTTTTGTGATTTGTATCAGCCTCTGATTTTATTACACTATGATTAGAAACTATTTTCTACATTGTTTCTCCTTTTTGAAATTGATTGAAGTTATTTTGTGGTTTATAACTTGGCCAATTTTTGTGACTGAAGTTAGAGCAATGGCAATGGTGGTAGGTATCTTGGAAAATAGGTAGAATAGGCTCTTTTTCTTAAACTCATTAAAATATGTATGATTGTGGAAAGTAAGGGTTATAATATTTTCAGAGCTTATTAATTATGTGATGTAATAAATGTGACAACTGTAATATATACAGGGCAGAATAAAGGGATGAATATAACTGAAACACTTCTACAGTTCACCTGAAATGGTACAGTATTAACTCTAAGTAGTCTGTGAAGTGTTGGGTAAGTGTACTGTAATGCCTAGAGAAAGTGCAAAAAACAATAATACGAAAAAATGACAGCCCAAAAGACAACGGGTCATTTAAAATGGAATACTAAAAAATATATTCAAATAACCCAAAGGAGGCAGAAAAAGGGGAGCAGGGAAACACGGCCAGACAGACAAACAGAAGCGCCTATAAATCGTGTGTGTCCGTCTCTTTCCCTTGTATCTTCTGTAACTTCTGCTTTTTGAAAGTGTCTTTTACAATATTTAGTGTATTAATATTTACAACTGTCGTATCTTTATTGTAAATTATAATGCTGCAGGGCTCAACGTGCTTTCCTTGATCCCGTTTCACGTTTTATGGCTGACAAACTACCTCGTCTCCTATTAAGATGAAACCTCTGCCTTTTTAATACAATGCTTTTGCCTGTACTTTGATTTTGAACCTTTTGTCAATAACTGTTTTAGGTGACTCTCTTCATTCAAACCGTAGCGATGGGCTTGCTCCCTGGCTGTGGAGGTCAGCCTCCAGCGAGGCCCCGGAGACCCTCTGCTCTGTTCTTCACCCGCCCCCCGTGACCCCTTCTCTCATCAGCCGGACTGGGTCTGCGTAACCAGCAGGAGATGGCGGAAATGATGGCGCGTGATTCCCAGGCGAGGCTGTCAAAGTCCCTGCGGTTGCCTTGGGCTCTGGATTGCACAGTCTGGGGAAAGCGAGATGGCAGCGTGAGATAACGCCGTGATGTGCACACAGCCAGGTTGGCGTTCTCACTGGCCTCCCCACCAACGTGACCATGTTATGGGCCAGGAGTCAGGAAGGCTCCACCGTGAGCTTTATCAAGGTGGGCCTGGGGCGCTCTGCGCCTGGCCACAGAACTTTACCTTTGTCCCTGTCAATTCCCACCTTGTTGGTCTGAGTCCATTCCAGGTATCTCTCCAAGATTTGTTCAGTTTGAAAATTTCATTAACTTTGCTACCGAACCTTTGCCCAGCTGATTGGTCAAGCTCTGGCCACTTCAGACCCCAGGACTGAGTTCTGAGCGACAGAGCCTGCTCTCTGATGACAGCTGTCACTTACTTAAGCTGATTATTCCCAGTAGGGCTGCAATTATTCAGCCTATTACAAGCCAGCCCTATCGGTTCCGGCACCATCCACGCTCACCTGTCAGCCTGACTGGCCAGTTTACTCCTGAAACTATGACGCTCGCTAAGTGTGTGGCCTGGAGGGTCATTGCAGTGTGGTCACAGTGTCTGTGATTAATTGTGTTAATAACAGAGGAGGCCCCTACGCCTGGCTTTCTCAACCTCGTGCTGTGGACACTTGCAGCCCAGCAGCTCTTTGTGGAGGCTGGCCAGTGCCCTGGAGGGGTTAGCAGCTCCCTGGCCATCCACCAGCTGCCAGCAATGTCCTCCGTCCCCCAGTTGTGACAACCCAGGGTGTCCCCAGGGGGACAAAATCGCCCTGGGTAGGAACCACTGGCCTAAGCCACGGACCCAGGGTTGGAACTGCCTGTGGTATTAAACCACTGTCACGGTGATAGGCTTGTGATCTTGTTCTCCGCCTTCTGCTGTTAATATTATTATTATGTTTCCATGCTTTCCACCAGGGCATCCTGACTCTGCAAACGTCTGGCTACATTCAAGCTGCAGCCACCACGTGCCGCCTGGTCTGTGTCCACTGACCCCAGGGGGCAGGGAGATGAAGGCAGCCGGCTTGCTTCATCCCGCACACCAGGCGGGCAGGGAGCTCAAAGAAGACACTCCGTATGAGGCCTCCCTGACACGGAAGGCACTGTCCAGACGTCAGCGCTGTTTCTGAGACCCGGACAGCGAAGGATGGATTCAGGAGCAGATAAACCTGCTCGGCGTGTGCAGCTCTGGCCTCTGGGTCCTATTTGTTTCTCCAGGAAGCAGAACAAAACAAAACAAAATGGAGAGACACCCTCCACATTGTTTCCAGCTGGGGAGAACCGGGGCAAACGGGCCAAGCTCTTTATCACGGCGCTTCCGGCCCTTAAGCCCCAACCCCCAACCCCCCCGACGCTGCTGAGGAGCAAGCCAGGTAAACTGGCCACTTGCTAAACGGTAACGCTCTGAGCAGATATGAGCTCTTGTGTGGACAGCGGTGCTCGGCTCCGGCTCTGGCGCTCGCTCCTGAGAGGACCCCAGGCTTCCTGACAATAACAGCATTGCCACCGTCAGGACAGCTTCCTGAGAGCGTGTAAGTCGGAGGTTCGTTAAAATGAGTTCTTGCTGCTTTGTGGTTATGCCTCACAGCGTATGTCACCCCCAGACTGGTTTTAATCCGACCAGATTCTTTATATGCTACGGATGATGTGGTAAACAGAGAAAGGCACAACGAACCCTGCGTTCAGCTGTGGCACGACGGGTGGCAGGACGGGGACAGGGAGGGGGACGTGGCTTCCTGCCGCCTCCATCCATGACCCACAGCTCACCGCGTGGTGAGCCTGCCCTCTGTTACTCCGTCTCTTGTTCAGTGTCTAGAGCTTTTCTGGGGATGCCGTATCATCGCAGCATCTCTCATTTCCTTCTCCGGAAATTAATACAACTTGTATATTGAAAGAAAAAACGCTGAAAGAAGGTAACAGTGTGTACTTGTCAATCTACCCTCGAGGCGTAGAGCGTGCACCATACATCCGTGTCCTTGAAGGGGCCTGGGCACCCAGGACTCGCCCCCTAGCTTAAGAGTTGAGGATGGTGTGCTGGCTGGAAGGCACAGGAGGGTGTGACATGATCCCCAGCATCTGCTGGCTCATGGGACACTGTACAACTCCCCCCTTCAATGACCAGAGCTGTTCCCCACACTGGGTCCCCTCTCGTGGAGGCCAGCAGCTGTGTGAAATCGGACTACCCCGAGACTGCCTTGCTGGGTGGAATCCAGGCTAGCCCCAGGGAGCCCCAGTGGTGTCCAGCCAGCCCCCCAGGGTCCAGCCCACTTGCTGAGGCCCAGGTGCCTGAGTGAGCACATTCGTGTCCTGTGGCCACCATACAAACTGCCCCAGACAAGCCCCAGCATGAAACTGAAGGGTGCACGCACTGTTGGCCTCCATTTGCCTCATGTCTAAGATGGCAGCCTAATTATCCAGGGGAGGCACCTTCATCTGACTTGTGTTTGCTATTGATCAGGGTCCAGACGCTATGACGTTATGTGGTAAATTGTGGGGATTTTGTCCGTAGAGATGCAAATGATTTCTCTCTGGCAGAGAAGACTCTAAAGGTTGCAGTTGTTTTTCCCTGTAGGTTAAACGGTGGCTACTGCGGCTTCTAACTTAGAAGACACGGTCGCTTGCCCACCCGGCCTCACAACGTAAAACTCTGTCCCCTGTTGCTCATGGAACCAACTTTGCCATGTTGCTGGCTCCCTGATTGATGAGTTCAACAAATCTCTGACAAGCGTTTGTTCCCTACTTGTATGAGTCTTATATGTCACTTTTTTAGGCTCTACTTCACTGTATAGACTGGCTCCGGTAGTTAACTGAATCCCGAGAGAAAGCTGACCCCTGAGATGAGCTTGAAGTTAACCTCTGGGAAACTTATGACCACAGGGTCACGGGGAAGGGGGCAGCAAGACAGGGTCGTACAGATGAGGAGGGAGGAGAAAACGGAAAGATGAAGGTGACACTCAGACGATGACAGAAAGCGTCCGCGATGAGCCCACGCTTGCCCCCCAGAAGTCTGAACCTCTTGGGGTAAAAAGAGACTGAATAAGTGGAGGGTGAGGGGCATCTTTCTTTACACAGTGTTGGGGGTGGAGGGACATCTGATGGGCACTGTTAAGTGAAGCTGCCAACGCTGTGATCAATCCCGTCTCCACGGAACTAGTTATGTGGGACACAGCCCCCGACTTTAGGGAGCGTGTGGCCAAGCTGTACCCACAGAAGCAACCCTCCCCCCCCCACTTCATCTATACACGATACATTCAGGAACCAGGTGAACTGTTTTAAAATTGTGGTGCAGACAACTGGAGCTCAGAGTTCAGAGGAGGAAGTAACAGCGTGAGCTGAGGGTCTCTGGAGGCCTTCCTGGAGGAGGAGAACTGGAGTCTGTCTCTAAGGAGCAGACTTCAGGAAGGTGGAGCGGGGTGGGGACCAGGTGACATGCCCAGGGGGCTCTAACCCAGGGCTTATTTTTCAGATACTGATGAGGACCTCTGGGTGTCAACCAGAAAGGACCCACCTAGAGCCCGAGGCAGCTGCATTAGCACTTGATTTCCTGGACCCTGGGCAGTGTGATGGTGAATGTTAGATGTCAGCTTGGTGGGGCCACAGTCCCCGGGTCACTGGCCAAACACTAGCCTAGGTGTTTCTGTGAAGCACTTTGTAGGTGAGGTTCACCCTTTAATCAGCAGGCTGAGTACAGCAGTTGCTCTCCATGATGTGGGTGGGCCTGGTCCAAGCAGTTGAAGGCCTTAGGAGGAAGAGGCTGAGGTTTCCTGAGGAAGGGGATTCTGCCAGCAGACGGCCTGGCCTTCAGACTCGAGCTCTTCCATGGGTCTCCAGCCTGCCAGCCTGCCCTGCAGGTCACAGACTTGCAGCCCCCACAACCACGTGAGCCATTGCCTTAAGATAAATTCCACCCCCTCCCCTCAAGGCGGGGCTCCCTCCCACAGCAGCAGACCCTTGGACTGCAGATTTCTGCTACAGCACCAAGAGAAGGCTCTTTGCAGCCCTGGCCTCATGAGCTCCCAGCTGCGGCCTGGCTGTGTCCTCCCCATCTCCGAAGGCAGGGAACGGCGGACCTCCCGGGTCCCACAGAAATACAATGCGAGGACACGTGTAATTTGAACGTGCTGGCTAGCCCCATGAAAGGAGTGCCAAGAAACAGGGGGAGTTAATCATGTTTTGTTTAATCCAATATATCCAAAATATCCTTTCAGCATGGAGTCACTATAAAACTCTATTAATGACTATAGTTTTTTGAACTGTCTTCAAAATTGGGATTGTATTTCATAGTTATAGCACATCTCAATTTGGAGGCTAACATTTCAACCGCGAAAGGGAAATGCAGTCCTACCAGAACGATAAAGGTGCATTTAGTGGAAAAATAACTCAGGCTGCCTTCCTCTTTCAAGCGGAATTGATTGAAATGAAATCGGTGCAGCCTTGCTAGGAGCCGGGAGGGCGGGCGTGCTGCGTGTGGGCGTGCCCCCCAGCGGCCGCGCCTGGTACTGCAGGGTCCAGCTTGGCAGAAACCTTCCTGAAATTAGGGTGTGAACCTTTGTTATTTTGCAGGTTTATGAACATTTTTGGGGGAGTCTGTGGGGCGGGGAGAGAAGATATGCATAGAGAAGGAGAGTGGGGAGAGGTAGGGTTTTTGCGTGTGTTCAGTTCCCAGTTTATAAATCACTGTTGTGACTGCAGGTGGCATTGGCAAGGACATCTTGAATCAGTCACCTGCTTATACAGTAACTGTGACCTTCTGAGCACCTGGAGGGCCACGGAGCCCCCTGAAGGCAGCACAGGGGGCCTTCTTTACCCTCACATCCCAGGCCCTACTAAGTGCTTGGTGTCAGGGAGGGGGGAGGAAAAAAAATCACTCCCAACCTGGGAGAAAACGGTTGCTTAATTTGCCGAATTGCTTAATTTTTGATGCCAGGGCAGAGTGTTTGAAGAAACTACTTGAACAAATGCAGGACCTGCTGTTCCTCGATGGGCTGTCACCCTCCACCCCTGGGGAATGTAACTTTGTCACTGTGTCTATTTGAGTAACAATCTACAACCACCGCAGGACGCAGACTCTACAGCCCTGTAAGGTGAGGGTGACCTGAGCACACTGGCGACTCACTGTCTTATGGTCCAGTGGAGATGGTGACCCCAAAGCAGTTCGGGGCCCTGTAGGAGGCGAGCCAGTCAGAGCCCACGGTGAGGTCTCCCCGGCGCCCCCTCCCGGGTTGACCAGGGCTCTGTCCCTTACATGCCCGCCCGGGCCGGCACTTTCTTCCTCTTCCTGCCAATTCTCTCTTTACAGAGCTCAACTTTGTTTTGACCCAAGCCATCGCGTCTACTTGAGAATTCTGAGTTCATAGCACTTCCTTAATTCCTACTTGTTGGATGTATGACTAAACATGAATACATGTGTTTCTGCCCGCCTTGGTTGTCACCAGCCTCTGTGGGGCGTTCTGAGGGCTCCTGTCCCAAGTCTTGGCCACGTCCCGTTGTCTACTGGGACTCTCCTCTGAACCCCTGGACGCCCGTCTCTCCTTGACGTGCTGAGAGGCGAGGGGAAGCCTTTTCCTGTGGGTGTCATGAGATCGAGATGAGGCACTACAAGAGGGACACGGCTGTCACATGAGGCCATGAGTCCAAGCTGCTCCTAGGAGCCCGAGGCCACGTGCATCTTCATGAAAAGGGGGTTGTTTGAGCATGGCAAGGCACAGGCACCAACTTCATCCCATTTTGTTATTTCTTCCAGGTAGGATTTGGGCACAAGTCACCCAGGGCTGGGGCTGGGCTTACAGGCTGGGCCGCAGGTTCTTGGGTCTGTGGCTGTCCCCGTCTCAGTGTGTCTCACCTGATGACTCCAGGATGGCGTCGGGATGGCAACCCTCTTCCGTCGTTTGCCCGTCCCAGGCATCACCAGTGCATCATGTCTGTCGTCCTCCTGGACCCAGATGTGTCTGAAGAGTCCTTCTCCAGCTCCATCTCCAGAAAGGGGCCTCCTGGCAGCCCTACCGGCTGAGGGCAATGGCCCCAAGGCCCCCTTAGGGCGACCACCTCAGCCTGTGTATTAATGTCCTAGGGCAGCTGTAACAAAGGACCACAAACCGGGTGGCTTAAAACAACATCATCTACGCTCTCAGGGTCTGGAGGTCAGAGGTCTGAAATCCAGGTGTGGGCAGGGATGGCCCCTTCGGGAGGCTCTGAGGGCCAGTGGGTTCCAGGCTTTCCTTCCGCATTCTGGGGGCTGCCCACAGGCCTTGGTGTTCATTGGCCTGTAGATGTGTCACTCCAGCATCTGTCTCTGTCGTCACAGGGCCTTCCCTGGGGTCGTCCTCCTTTCTCTTCTCTTCTAAGGACACTTGTCACTGGATTTAGGACCCACCCGAATCCAGGGTGATCTGTCTTAGGATCTTTAACCTAACTTCATCTGCAAAGACCCCTTTTCCAAATCAGGTTACATTTGCAGATTTCATGTGGACATGTCTTACGGGGGACACCATTCACCATGTGACACCAGGCCCACACAGACGTTGCAGTGAAC